AAACCTTCTCTTCATCCCCTCCAGAAGCAATAGACAGGATAGCACTCAGAGTTTCAAGGCGGCCAAGGCATGCATACAACATTAGACGAGGGGATTTTCCTAGCGTGTGTATGGCCGTCTTCACAGCTAGGATGATTTGTCAACAAATTAAAAGTGAGTTTTGCTTTTGTGGTGATGAACTCAGGTGAAGGTTGAGGTTGTCATTGAAGAATATTTGAGAGCATTTGTAAGCATCTTTAACCAAAATGTATATAAAAAAGAAAAGAAAAGGGAAGCATGTACAGTATGTATTGCAGAACATTAGTGCTGCTATAAATGTGTATGTCTGAACTGTGCGCTATGTGTTTATGGTCAAAAACACCACATTTAGATATCTATAGTGGTATAAGTATGGGGATCAGGCACAATGACAATGACTAATATCATGCATTCCTTTATTTACATCTGTGTATTTTCTGAGGTATGCTGTAAAAGGATGAGGACTGGAAGCAGAAATGTTTGCACACACCATGTGTTCAGTGGGCTGTTACCATGCCAGTCATGGAGCTGTACAGACCACTGCCAGACCTAAAGTCCTGCACAGAGGGACTAGTTGGCACCACTGCTGCCCTGAGGGTCACCACGGCTGGGCGAGGGGGAATAAGAAGGATGAAGGAAATGAGGACAACAGGACATTAGGCAGAGTGAATTGTGGGATAGAAAAATGGAAAGGGTTCTATAAATATAGTAATAAAGATTAACGAGTGAGAAACATGAAGACCAACTATTTAAAACAGTTGCTGCACAAAGAAATGGCAGTGAGTTGTTTGGAACACAAGTGCAACTTATTTTCCTACTTTGTTGTCAACTTGTAAAATATGTTCAGGCACATGATAGATTATTGTTCTTTTTGAAACTTCCCATAACATACAACGTCAACAACTTTTCATTTAGTGTTAGGATGGCATATCACGGCGGTGAAATGTAATCACTTTTTAAACTCCGAGCTATGTAAAACTAACTTCTCCGACTCAGACTGATTCACCCTGCGGTGTTACATATTTCTCATCCTCCACACACCGGTACGGCGATGAAGTCCACAAGGAGTGAACAAATCCTCCATATCTATCTGTCTCACCTCAAGCATCTCTTCCCACATCTGACACCTAGCCACAAACACACACACAGACACAGACAGACACACACACACGCACTGATCCAAGGACGACGGAGAGAAAACTAACTTATATTCATTATAGATTGAAACAGATGGCTCTACAAAGTATACAAGGAAGATATCCTGGAAGCATGTACTGTATATATGTGGCGTGTTCATAGAGGACACTTAAAATCTGTAAACATGTTCTTGAGGGGCTGTTATGGCGGCTGGCTGGCTGGTTGGTTGGCACCCACACATTTGTGTACTGGGAGACAGATGCATTCTTACATAAGACCTTATATAATGCTCCCCTGTCCCATCCAGTAAGAACGCTTCTTTTTCGCTGTGTGCGGGAAGGTTAGTTCAGGTTAGACAAATCTCAAATCAACCACCACAACCATTTACACGTCCACTCAACCCCCACACACTCCTGGCAAAGAAGAAAGATGAAAAGACTGAGCAGAGAGTGTGATGGAGGCAGGGCCCACTTTCTCTGTGGTTCTATCCCCTTGGTCCCTCACACTCTCTCTGGTTTGATCTGGGTCAAGGAAGGTTACTGCCTACGTGGAAGCTAGAGGAGCATGGTCCATTTGTGTGTTGGGATATCGCTGAGAGAGACACAGTCCAAAGCCATCAAAAAACTTTGAATTTTAAGGGAATATTGGTCAGATGTCAGAGGGGAAGGAAGCAATAGAGAGAAGGATAGAACAGAAACAACTAAACTGAGATAGATGTATAGATTCTATGATAGCAGAAGAATGATAGAGAGGGGAAAAGGGCGATAAAGGTGGGGGTGAGGCAGAGAAAGAGCAAGCAGCCTTCCCCCTGCAGCGCTAGCCTCTCTCTCACACTCTCATTCAAAGGCAGTTAGCTTCTCTTTGATGTATCTATAATTAGTCAGTACACACTGCGAAGTGTTTTAAAAGAAATCAAATTGCAATGAAACACTTGAGCGCTCTATACACGGGCTAACGTGCTCCAGGAGAAAGGGGGGCAGCAGGAGAAATTAATGGCGGGCCTTTTTGATGTGCTTGATCAGAAATGTATTTATTAACTGCAAAGGGGAGTAGTAATTAACCCACAGACAGCTTGTTTTCTCTGGGTCTTCTCATGTGTCAAACGGTTCATCCCGCAAGGCTACACTCTCCAGCTCATGCACACACACCTCCCATCCAGTCCCGCTGGACCACTTTCTCCTCAATTAAGTAGATGGTGTGCACATGTATGTGCATGAGTGTGTGCATGCTTATGTGTGAGGGAGGGCGAAAAGACAGCAATATCAAGTGAGAAACATAGTGGCTTCTTCAAACTCAATGGGTATATTTATAGTACTCCTGTAAAGTCCAAGTAGTTTGAGTGCTTTTGGAAAAGAGCCAAACAGCCTAGAGTACAATATTTATATGACAAATGCACCTTTACAATACAAATAATCAGTATAAAAATATAAAGTATGGGATCACACCAGCTATGACACCCAAATCAGGCCAGTGGCATAAAGTGGGGTTGCACATTGTTTTTATCCCCACTACATCCTGCGCCCTTGCTAGTCTACATATTGCCCTCTGTAGACAAAGTTGCTCATAGGTAGAGGTGGGCAATCGAGGGTATCTAAAAGATTATGAGTGTGTGTTCGTGTCAGTTTGTTAGAGGTGAAGGAGTTTCGACATTGGTTTCAACAAAAGCTGGAATGGCCTCAAGGGAAACTGACAATAGCCTATTTGAACACCTTGTCCCTTAAAGAGAACACAAGAGTCTTGCAAGTCTCTGTTTTGATGTTATCTTCCCCATATTGCATCCGCTATAAGCTATATGTTTAAATATGCACATACTGTATACGAGTGTTTTTCAGATGGTTTTCACATGACAAGGACATCACATAAAAGAAAGCTGTGAGAAACCTTGTTGAGGTCTTTATACAGAGATGGGGAGTCTGACTGAGGGAAACATAGAGAGACGGAAAGATACAAATAGAGAGAATAGTCTTCGTCACTCGGCAAGAAAGCCCAGGAGATTGTGAGGCTGTCACGGACAAAACACTGCATGAATATTTAGCAGACAAATTACAATTACAAAAAACTAAACAAAAAGAAGCAGGTGAAAGAGAAGAGAAATAAAATATGACTGAAAACACCAGTGGGACAAGTGCTAATCTTTAATCCGTTACTAGCCATATCCTCATTGTGCCGCCTACCTGTTCTTCCCCTTCCCAAGAATATGAGATTAAATACACATTAAATACCTCAGATCAACAAACGAGCAGACTGGCAATGTAATCCAGCTATCAGAACATAGAGGGGCTTGCAAATGCATCTTGCACCGTATGTTAGCTTGCAGAGCTTAAAACAGTGCAGTCCCTCGTATTCTAAATGCTAAACCAGCTAGCATAGCATGTTCACAATAAGCGGGGCAATGAGCCAAAATTACCACATACAATACACATTGGAATTTTCAAAAGCTGCCAGAAGGCCCTTTTGGTTGTTCTTGTCCTCTCTTTCAAATAGCTGTAGAAAACTACTGTATTTTTTATATTGACGTGAAGAAATATGCTAAGATATTTCAAGCACTATCATTAATCAGTTAAATTAGTTTTTTAAATGATGCATCTTCTATAGGAATATGAGCATAAAATGGATGTGGATTTTGTTTTGTGATTTGTTAATCGACTCTCTGCATCCCTCAACATCCCATTCCAGTTACTACAAACTTTACTACTTATGAGTAATTCCTCAACTTTGAAGTTTCTGTATCCCAATCATAGGATCTTAAAATGGTATTAAATACTATGCTATGAATGTGCTCAAAGCCAGGGTAAGGGTTTTATCCTTTTTGAAGCACATTAACACAGTACATAAGTTTGCATTGCTGTATACTGTATATTACTAGTATACACATTAGACTTCAATTGGATGATAAATCAAGCAGCTAGTAGCAAGCAAGGTACATACATAAACTTCCCACCATTAACCATGACTCCATATGCTATTCCGCCCTGGTAAAGGAAAAGTAACTATGATTAGTTATCTGCACACTGAAGCTTAACTTAAAACAATGAGATAGAAGGTGATGATCAATATGTGATGCAGAAACCCACTAGGAGATCACAGTAAAACAAAGGTTAGAAAATACAGCATTAACCTCAGTAGCCTTCATATAACCAGCAAAATACACACTGTAGGCCCATTTAGCTGAAGGGTGCAGTTATAAAGCCAAGAGGCTGGCCAAACTTTTACTTTCACCCCCCCCCCTGTGCACCATTAATTCCTTCCAATCCACTTTCCTCCCAGCATCTTTCAAACTATCCTCTGTCTCTCTTAAGGCTGTGAAATCTGCATGATCTGCAGCAGATCTGGTTTAACAGTACAACTGTTGTTGCATTGCCATACCTAACATACTTTATCCAGCCCTCTCCTCTCCCCTGTTCTCCCCCTGTTCTTCACGTATAGACGAGGTGGATTTTGCCAGAAGGACAAGGACGAACCAGATGGTTTACAGAAGCAGTACCATCTTTCAAATAGAGCTAAATGCTATCTTTTTTTAATTATCATTCTACCATGTTTCAAACACTATTGCTGTACTCCTGGTCTCCCTGCGGTGATCACTGCTAGTGCTGCCTTGCATGTTTGAATATAACACTGTTTGCATGTGTGTTTAAGCATTTAGTATAAGAGTTGACATTTTCAGTTTTATTGTATACTAGCATTACGAACTTAAGTTGAATTTCAGTATAACAGTTGCACTTTGCAGATTTACCCAACATGATCATGTATGAGCAACTTGGTGCTGACATGAGTGTATTGTGTGTCTCAGTGTGTCTCTTTGTTGGTGGGAGGTAGGAAGGATAAGCGGAAAACGAAACACTCACCAGCTCAACGAAAGACAGCCCTCCGTAGCTGTGGGCCATGATGAAGACATTCTTGGCTTTGGCTTGGGACACAAAGTGGTCCCACACATACAGCACGTGTTCCTCGGAGGAACTATTTTCCTGCAACACAAAAAGCACTTATGTTACATCCATGACAAAGAAGATTATGCAAATGTTAGGAGCTTGAAGGCTGTCAATAAACTCAGTTGGGCAATTGCAAAACATAAAAAATATGTGTCCATCTATTGAGAATGGAGCATCAAAAGAGTACTGAAAGTCTTTTGATTCAATGTTACAACATAAAAAGCTGCACAGTGGGACCAGCCTAAAAGAAAGGTATAAAAGAGAAACTAAAAAGTGCTGGTGGCCAGAGGGGATTGTATAAAGAGCCACACTTCAGTAGATCAATAAGTCTTGCATATTGCAAATGCCCTAAATGTAAAACTCAATACGCTGGGTGACGTAACGTTTAAATCTTAATTTGTACGCGGTTGCTGAATCGATGGTCCATCTATACACCAGTAGAAGCATAATGGGAACACACCAGGGGAAGGTCAAAGGAAAAAACAACAGAGAGGAGATATACATGTGCAAAACGGTGCAGTTTTGCATCCACGCACACAGTCACAAATGAATACTCCTTTGGATGTTTTCACTCTCATCTGCATGCACACACACACACACACACACACACACACACACACACACACACACACACACGCACACACACTGATGAACACACGACCAGAAGACATGTTTAATTAACCAGAGATGTAAGCGTTTATCCAGGGTTGAAAAGAACAATAGCAAAAGTACAGGCGGTAAAAGGGCATCCATTAATGAACTTGTGACATTGATTTCTAGACTTTGATTTCCTATCAATCTGTCTGTTTCACAATAGAAATCAACAATGCATTCCCACAAGAGGTTAAACTACACATGGAGCTTTGTCGACTAGAAACACCTGTATGTTTAGACCATGCTGTTTTTAAGATGGCACAATATTGAATGCAAACACGCTATACACACACATATATACACACACATTCCTTTTAATTAGAGTGCAGATGTATATAAAAAAATATCTCGAAATAAACAAACACATGGCCTATAGAGAATGGAGACTCATCTGTTAATTGAGCATCAAAATGGGACTCCAAGACAAATAATTAGAGATATGAGATAAAGGACAGAGAAGGTATCTTAAGAGACTCTCCTATTTGTTTCCATACATGTGTTAGCATTTTCAAAGTAAGAAATGTTAAAAAAGATAATTACTTTACCATTCACTCTCTTTAAGGTGGTAATTGAGGAGTTAATGTAGAACACACTATATTAAGTATGGTTTAAACTTTTCGCTTAGAATAAAGTTGGTGATTTGACGAGGTGTTTTTCACTTGCGCATATCCGTGTGTATAAGATATGTATATATCATTTATATAAGTATTATGTGTGCAATGGTGTGTGTGTGTGTGTGTGCTTCCACTGTTTAATGATGTGCTGCAGTGGGTTTTTTGTTGCTGTGTTTGTCTAGAGGTAAATTAACCTGTCAGAGTGTTTGTGTTTACCGCTAGATTAGCATGAGAGGGTTGTAGTGTCAGCAACCACCTCATTCACAGAGTGTGATGCAAGACCAGGCAACTCAGCTCTGCCCTGCCCTTCTGCCATCAGTGCTCTGTGTGTGTGTGTGTGTGTGTGTGTGTGTGTGTGTGTGTGTCCTCCTACATGCACAGAGGGGCTGGCTGGAGCAGAGTTGTCTGTCTGAAAGGCTGTGACATCAAAGTCCTTTGAAGTCTCCCTCCTCTCTCCTCCGCCATGTCACCCTTCATCTGTGAAGCCCATTTCATTAGCCTCCCTCCCTCTCTTCTACCTTCTTCTACCTCCACTGATGCCACCTGTTCTTCACACTCCTACATCACCTGCTTTGTCCACCTCTCCACCCACCCTTTAGTGACAGTGCTCGACAATGAGACATTAAGGAGGGATAAACTACTGTACATGTGCGCGTGAGTTGTGAGTGGTACATGATGTGTTACTTCATCAACAATTCCAAAATTGCCGATATCAACTGATTGCAGGCAAAATGTGCCAAAGACCAATAACTGACAAAATTCATCAAATGAAAGATATTAAGACACATATTGTAGATTGACGTCTTCATGGTGGTTAATGAATCCCCCCATTCTCCTAAACTACCTTACCAAAATTATAATTCTTTGCCTACACTATAAGTGGCAGGCAACAGAGTGACTGACTACCTGGCACGGCAGTGCATTGAATTATCTAAACAGCATTTGCATATTGTTGCAATTATTTCCTGGGGTTAATTAGTTGCAGTGGAGCACACTGCCCTGCGAGACCGGCTTCCTGTCACCCGCTCTCCCACAGTTTCTTGGCTTATTTATTTATTTTCCACAGTTTCCCCACACTGTGTGTTTGTGTGAAATGGTCTGTTTATGTGTGCGTTTGTGGTGTGTACATCTGCCAGCTCTGTCATAATAGCGTCCCAACTGCACACCTGTTGCCAACATCCTTCAGCCATGACTGTCAAGGGACATTTGAGGGTGTGTGCTGTTTATGTGTGTATTTACCGAATATATAGTGATCCATATTGTCCCCTCAGAGAATATAAAATACAAATATGCGTCCTAGACAGTTTCAGGACCAGAAAGTCTCCAGATGGTGACAGCTAACTTTTATCAACAACAAAAAAAAGTCAGAGAGAGTTAAAGGAAATAGTAGACCGAGAGGAAGCCATACATATTATGGAAGGTATACAGTATATCTGTGTGGGTCTAGAAGAATAAGGTTGACAGGCTGTCAGCTCTGGACTTGACATTCATCAACATGTCACACACACACAGTGACACAGATATACATACAGTATACATACAGTATTTGCTAACAGAACGTATGTGCCTCTAATGTCAGTCATCCTAATTTCAAATGCAGACAGCACCCTATAGTTGAATATATACAAAAAATATATAATTGTGGAATTCAAACTTGTCTTTTATCGCACATTTATTTCTTTGGTTGGCAGAGGAACAAAACAAGCTGAAAAAAAGAATGAATCCTGCTAATTCAACACAGAAATTATATATCCCAACATCTTTAAATGAGTGGAACATTTTTTAAGCAGATGATTCAAACTGAAACCAGTGGTAAAAGTACTCATACCGCTGTTTTGTGTCAGAGTGTGAGCTTTTAGAAATGAAAAATAAAAAAATAAAGACCATAGCCGAGAGGAGCTAATCTGAAGGTCTATGTCCAAAAACCATGAAGTTCATGTGACCATCTTGCGCAATGTTAAACACGTTTAAGACTAAAGAAACTGTAGCCGACCTCCCTGGAAATAGGAACAACAGACAGTTGACCAAAGATTGAAGCGAAGGATAGCTCAGATCAAAAGATTCAAGCATACACACAAGCCCAAAAGACTACAGTTAACAAAAAAAGTGGCTTTAGCCAAGTAGCTCTTACCCAATCAACAAAACTCTTATTATGTGTTATAACTTACGTCACTATTTAGACTGCTAGACAACTTGCTACATTGAGCAGGACTATCCACCCCACTTATGATCTGTGAGTCGTTCAAAATGTTACACATTTGTTAAAAGTGTTTGCTCTGCAGTTGTCTATTTTCTAGAATTTGTTCATTTTAGCTGTTTCCATTGTTTACACAATAACAACTCTCACACAGATGCAAACCCTCACACACACACTCTCTTGGTTCTTCAAAAGTTGTTCTGTCCACTACTTGCCCTGTGTTTATTCACTGTAATGAGAAGCAGGGATAGAAGAGCGGAGGAGAGGAGTGTGCTGCAGCCAGAATAACAGACCCAACGCCAACACAAACCCACTGTCCAACCAACACAGGAAACAATGAATCTAACAACATCAACACCAATGACAAACAAACCACTTCAGACCTCCCCGCACTTCTCTCTTCTGCTCCTCCTTCTCCCAAACCAAAACACGACCAGGAAAACTTCTGAGGAAGCTGGAATTTAAAGTTGGGAGATGGTGAGCAGTATGGACCGGAAGGAATCTAGTGGATAAGAGCCATTATACTTTTTACACTCAGAAACTTTTCAGTGGGAGCCAAAAGTGTCAAAAACAGTGTCACGGGATCCCTAAACAACTTCATTGGGTCTGGACTCTTTCACAGGGGTTCTTGGGCAGTCCTGGTTTCAATCTTGGAAAAACGTCAATGAGTATTTCAAGAGGTTAGAGTAATAGCTGAATAAAGTGAGAAGAATTCAAAACACCCACCGCACAACAATAATTTTTAAGAGTTCCTTTCCGTATAGAAAGAGAAATATACAAATTACAAAAAATACACCAGACACACAAATTCTGACAAACTGAATCTGTCATTCCCCTCCTGCTCTACACACACTGGGTAAACCCACCTGCAGCGCCAGTCATTAAACTCTTTAATATGCCCTGATCAGCACAGAACAGGATTGTTTTCATTTGGCCTAATGATTAAATATTAAATAAGCAATGTACATAATTACATGTTTGGTGTAAGCAAAGAGGTTATTAGAGTAAAATAGTTGTTGTGTGTGTGCTTGCGTGCGTGCTTGCGTACATGTCTCTGTGCACACAATTAAAAAGTGGACCTCAACGACACCTGTTTGCAATTGCATTCTAATCAATGTCTGGGACGTGTACTCCTTCGCCATGTTTTTTCCTTTTTTTCTTCTCCTCTGGTCTTTGTTTCTTTCTTTACTCTCTTATAGAGTCGACAGAGAGCTGAAGTTAGCTAGAAGCTGTCTGGGAGCTGATGGGTCTGCTGGAGTGGGGGAAAGGAAGGTATGGAGCAAATTAGTGGCAGAGATGGGAAAATAATGACTGTGGCATTGTGGGTAATTAGCAGGTATAGTACGTATGGAGAGTTGGGAATATAATGATGTGAGAAAGAGACATGGAAAAGCGAGAACGAGGTGAAAAACGTGTGCAAGACTAACAAGGGGGGGAAAGTGTGTGCGTTTTAGTGCGTAGATGAGTGTGGGTGAGTGTGTGTGTGTGTGTGTGTGTGTGTGTGTGTGTGTGTGTGTGTGTGTGTGTGTGAGCGAGAAATGAATGTGTAGGTGTGTTATTCAATTGGGATA